TGCCACAGCAATATATACTGTAATATCGACTAGAATTATCTAATGCCACAGCAATATATACCCTGATATATACCCTGTTGACCACAGCAGTATATACTGAATATTGAATAGAATCATCTAATGCCACAGCAATATATACCCTGTATATACTGTAATATTGACTAGAATCATCTAATGCCACAGCAATATATACTGTAATATCGACTAGAATTATCTAATGCCACAGCAATATATACCCTGATGTTGACTAGAATTATCCAACGGTATTATATACTGTATGTTGACTAGAAATATCTAACACTACAGCAGTTGACTAGAATCACACAAAAACACTTAAGAATCATTACATTACTATACATACAGAACACACCCATATCGATACAGAACACACCCATATCGATAAGATATCAGCTTAAAAAGTAACTGATATGATAGTGACAATAGCGTCTCCCCATCCTTCCCATACACATTCGTATTTTCAAACAAAAGTGTTCTTTGTTAGTACAAAGCATCTGTATAGTAAAGAGAATCCATGTAAGCTTTGGCCATTACTGTGATAATGTGTCAGAAGTTCTAGATTTCATTATTTGTTACCTATTTATAATCCCTTAAACCAATTTACACAATGAGGAATCACAGACTTCTGTAGACGTAATAAACACATGGACTTTCCATTAAAAACAATTAATAATGTAAAGGGGCTTTCTAAAAAAACATAACGAAACACTCATTATGTAAATAAAACTCAACTTCAATTTGTAAAACAAAACTGAAAATCAACTAATGTAAATCAAATTGACTAAAAATTATTTCACATTAAAATATAATCAATTGCACCAAACTTCATGCACAACACAATAAAATCAAATTAAAAATAAAATGTATATATGTATATAGACATATATAATATAGAAATGTAATGCTTCTAGCGGCTCATGCTTAAATGGTGCAGATCATGCTAAAAATTAAAACATTTAAAAATGAAATAAATTTGCACTTCAAAAATGAAATCATTATAATACAAAAGTATAACTCCATCATGTATCAAGAATATGCTAATTACAACAAGTATAATTATATAATAACAAATATCATATATATCTACGAAGGATTTGATTGACTAATTTCGTTGTCATGGGAACTTGATGGGCTCCTGTGGGTGTCATCCGGACTTGATGCAGTACTGATGGTAAGGATTGGAATGGCATCTCCAAGTCGATGTCTGGAGGTCATGTGATCATCCGAATCGCATTCATCACTGTATGAATCTCCACTAAGTGATGCTAGCTCTGCTATGTGAGGATTCTCAAGACTCTCCAAGGGGTCCACGCTAACCCGTTTGTTCCGAACAACCCTTTCATGATAAGATTCATCTGAACTTGAACTCAGAGTGGTGTTTGTGAAATTCCTAGTAGCACTGTTATCATTGCGTGGAGGTATGTTTTGATTCTCGTCCTCATAAACAGACCCTTCTAAAGTCTCTAGACTATCCAGTGGATCTAAAGGAGAAATATCCTTGATACCAGAATCAGATAACTCAACACCTACACCTGAGTCTACCGTTATTTCTTTTCCAGAGTCTGCTAAACTTTTAGCAAATTGCAAAAATTCTTTTTGTCTCTCGGCATCATCATTATCACTACTATCACATTCATGTTCACTATCGTCGCCGAATTCCGAATTACTTCCTTCAGATACAGAAGACTCGGAGCCATCAGAGATATTCTCTGCCAGATTTTCCAGAGGTTCTAGCATATCAACAGACTCCACACTCTCTGGACTTCCCTGGACATCTGTGTCTGTTGATCCACTCAAAAACATCTGAGCACTAGGTGGATCATTGACACTCTCAAAACTGTACATGTATCCACGCTCCTTCTGAAACTTTCGTGCCTCCATTGCCTTTGAACTATCAATGCTCTGATCGCTTGGGTGTCGTCGCAGTTTCAGCTTGGGTTTGGGGTTTGGGCGGAACACATTCTCTGGAGGAAGTGTGTGGAAGGCTTGATTGAGTCTTACTGTAGGATCTTTGTCAGCTGCAAGGGAAAGTGATGATTCTTCTTCATTCTCATCGACACTAACTAAACTTAGTGGACGAGGTGATGTAGAGTTAGAATCAGGGGGTTTAAATGTTGAAAACGTAATGCTGTTCCGATTGGATTTACTTGCATAGTCTGTTTCTGATAATATAAACTCAGCTGCAGGAGATGAGAATTCCATACCAACATGACCCGCCGTTCCAGACAATTCAGTCTTTTTGACAGGCGGATCTGGTCTTTTTCCTGCTACAGTTGGTTTTTTACTAATCATGTCAGGTTTTTTACCTGGTAAAGCGGGCTTCTGACTTGGTAAAGCTGGCTTAGTACGAATCAAGTTACTATCTTTCCCACTTGCGCTTAATTTCTTGGCAGAATTTTTGGCTTCTGTTCCTTCATGTTTGGATGTAGAAGACTCCTTACACTGCTTCAAACTAAAGATAGGCCTGTATACAGGGCTATAGGGCTCTTTAGATTTTTTATCTGGATTTTTGGCATGAAAAGCAGAAGATTTATTAACAGTTTGTACATTGTTTCCTCTGGTAGGTTCAGGTCTGCTTACATTTACTGAAGATTTACCCTGATCTTCTGACTGACTCCGACCTGATGACTTACCATACCTGACAATATTTGGGTCATTTTCAAACTGACCCGTATTTACTGAAGGGAGATTGGCTTTGACCATTTTAGAGTTACTACCAGTTACCCTTTGAGAATGCTGTGCTGGCTGTGCTTTCTGTTGGGGAAATTTGTTGGAATCATTGGACATTCCTGCAGCTTCCTTTCTCGCTAGTTTGTCTTCTGAGAGGCGTTTCTCCAGGTTGTCATTGAGCTTGTTTTGGACAACAGTGATATCCTCCACCATTTCTAAGTTATTATTAGACTTGTTATCTTCACTAGCTTGATAACTAGACAATGGTTCCTTAACAACTGCCCCTCCAGAAACTGGGGTTGGCGATACGATGACATCTTTGATAACCTCACCATTACATTCAGAAAATGCTGATTCGTTATCTTTGATATTTTCTTTATTTTGGATCTGTTTTAAAATATCTTTTTCAAATGTGGGACTTGTTGTATCGTCTACACTTGAGAAGCTATCTTTGTGTGGTAAACGGTGATAACTGACTATTTCCATACGTCGATTACATGACGGTGAGCGATCATTAGAATTTCGGGAGGGTGTACGTTTACCTGAAGGAGACCGGCTCTGGTAACCTCGCTTTCCTGAGGGTGATCGACTACCTATCCTCTGTTGTATACTACATGGGCTGCCACCTCGGCTTCCAGGGCTAATCGGACTGGTACCTCGACTACCTGGGCTGACAGGACTAACTACACCACTCCCTGGAGTAACAGGACTACCAGCCAAACTGCCCAGACTGGACGTGTCACTACATGGACTTACCCCACCACTGACTGGGCTGACAGGACTGTTGCCTCCACTAACAGGCGACTTAACCTCCTGCTTTCCCTTATCAGGTACAACAGGAAGTGACCCGTCGTATACTTTAACTTGATGTACTTGCATGTTTGAAGGCCGTTTCTTCTTGAGACTCCTGCTTCTCCTGTTGGATATGATGTCATCCATATCTGTGGGTGAAGTTACCTCCCCTGTCTTAACAGGTTCAGGACTTTTCTCAAGGTGGCGTCGGTGTAGAAGGTATGGAATGTCCCCGATCATGTCTTCTCCACCATTAACTCCTGCAGTGTTCCTATTTTTGTTTAGCTCATTCTTACTTAAATCTTCTTTACTCCTGTCTGTTCGGACTGGTTTTTCTGTTTCACTTTTGGTATTCAGGTCCAGTTTCTGTAACTTCTCAATACTACCAGTACGCTTTGGATAAATGACATCAGCTTTACCAAGGCTCTCAATTTCTTTCGGTACCTGCTCTGTTGCTTTCTTTTCTGGACTATCCCTTGGAATGCTGCTTTTCCTTAAAGCATTATCAGAGACAACTTCTTTCTGTGGAGGTTTCTTTGTCATATTATCAGAAACTAACCCTTTTTGTGGCAGTTTCTGAGAAACATTATCAGAAATCAGATCTTTTTGTGCTTTTTTCCCTGCTATACTTGAGGCCGGCTCTTGCTGTGGAAGTTTCCTGCTCATATTATCAGTAGTCATGTCTTTCTGTGGAAGTTTCTTCTTCACTTTATCAGTGGCCACATCTTTTTGTGGCAGTATCCTAGAAACTTCTGTAGACAGCTCGTTACATGGTGGTGAGTCCTCATTTAAAACATTATCCTGTTTTATCAATTTCCTGTCAGTTTTTTTATCATAACGCTTTTCTCCAATGTATGAACTTCCGCCAATTTTTCCCTGATTTGTGGAGCTTTCTTGTTTACTTGAAGATTTTCCAGAATCTTGACTGACCGATTTCCTCAATGGCTTTTCCTGATTAGAAAATTTCCTCTTTTCCTCATTCGCCAGCGGAGGGCCTGTCCTGGCAACCTCTTGCTTACCCTTACCTTTAATAACCTCCCCAGACTTACTGTTCTCAACTGCCCCATCAGACCCCTTACCTGTTGTCAGATGGGAGCTAACATCATCAGCAAACACAACCTTTTTATGTTCCCTTCCAAGGGTGGAGTTTGGAGACTTTTGGCTTGTCCCCACCCCATCAGGGGAGGAATCCTGTAAACTATGTCTTAGGTTAGAGGGTAAAGTATCTACACTATTAGATTTAGGTCTCATTCTCCCCCCACCAGAATAATGAACATGCTCTATATCTTTGGTTAGGTGTGGTTTAGTAGGGAAAGTAGCAGACAAATTATTCTCAGTATCAATAGAACTGTCATCTAACTTTTTAATCTTCCCATCTTTAACAAGAGAGAAAGATTGTGATTGGCTGTTTTCATCATTGTCATTTGCATTTTGACTGGCTGACACATTTTGGTTATTATTAGGATAGCTATCTAGCGGTGCAGATACTATAGCATTAGTAACAAAAGTAGAAGTGGCACCTCGTTCGTCGATTCTGTCCACTCTGCCGTCTGGGGAAGCCACTGCATCATCATCTGGAAGGTCGACCTCTGCTCCAGGTGTTCCCTCTCTGCTGCGGTCAAACTTTGGTGATGGGAGTGACCGACTGCCAGACAGTGAGCTGTCCACACTGTGTACTTCAGCTGTCTCTGTCCTACTAGGTGTGGTAGGGTCGTCTGGCCCTGGGGATAGTATGTGTGAGCCACTGGATGCTGTGCTGTTGTGAGTGTCGGTGGTCGAGTTGTGAAGCCCTGCTTTAGCTGTTATCTTTGGCGTGACACTGGCACTTCGGCTGCAGGAGATTCGCCCACTGACAGACCTACAATGATGGGAATAAAAGGATAATAATAAGACATGGGGTGACATACAGTACAGCAGGTCACCAAACACATTTCTATGACACAGATATAGATGAAATAGTGAGATATGTTCACAGTAATTTTTCATTCTTTTACTTTTTTAAATTGATCAAAAACTTTCAATTTTCTTAATAAGACAAACATAGTCAGCAAAACATTTACTGTTGAAGACACACCAACAGTACAGCAAATCAGTTTTGGCTGATCAGTCATTTCATTACTCCAATCAGTCTCAATATTAATTTAAACATGCAGAACTAACAAAACTAGGGAAAGGAAATCTCCATATAACATTTATGAAAGATTCTCCTATTCCTTTATCAGAAATATCATACCATATCTTCTAAGAAATACCATCTCAAACTTTCCGAGAAATACCATCTCAAACTTTCCGAGAAATACCATCTCAAACATTCCGAGAAATACCATCTCAAACTTTCTGAGAAATACCATCTCAAACTTTCTGAGAAATACCATCTCAAACTTCCTGAGAAATACCATCTCAAACTTTCCAGGAAATACCATCTCAAACTTCCCGAGAAATACCATCTCAAACTTCCTGAGAAATACCATCTCAAACTTCCTGAGAAATACCATCTCAAACTTCCTGAGAAATACCATCTAAAACTTTCCAGGAAATACCATCTCAAACTTCCAGAGAAATACCATCTCAAACTTCCAGAGAAATACCATCTAAAACTTTCTAAGAAATACTGTCTTAGTTTCAAAGATAACCTAAGCTGTATTATTTGATTATAAAGGGAATTTGCTATCTAAAGTGTTTTCATCATAGACTGAAATGTTGAAAAATAAATCTACAGAACTTGGGCGATAGAAACTTTGAGATTCTGTTTCCAGACAAAGTGACGGTATTGATACATCGCCATTTCAAACTGGGTCACAACAGGAGCAACACAAAGGTGTAACAGACAGTTTAAAACCCATAAGATACTTCACAACGCATTTGTTGTTTACTTCACAAAACACAAGTTATTTACTAAAATCATTACTTCACAACTAATCAAATGATTACTTTGCAACACATCAGCTGTTTATTTCACAACACATCATTTGTTTACTTCTGAACATACAAGTTGTATACTTCATAACTTCAAAACATATCTGTTGTTTATTTCATAACTTAACAACAAATCAAATGATTACTTTGCAACACATCAGCTGTTTATTTCACAACACATCACTTGTTTGTTTCAATATGCATCAGCTGTTTACTTTATAAAACACATCAGCTGTTTACTTCACAAAACATCAGCTGTTTACTTCACAACACATCAGCTGTTTACTTCACAACACATCAGCTGTTTACGTCACAACACATCTGCTGTTTACTTTACAACACATCAGCTGTTTATGTCAAAACAAATCAGCTGTTTACTTCACAACATATTAGTTGTTTACTTCACAGCACATCAGCTGTTTACTTCACAACACATCAGCAGTTTACTTCACAACACATCCGCTGTTTACGTCACAACACATCTGCAGTTTACTTCACAACACATCAGCTGTTTACTTCACAACAAATCACTTGCTTGTTTCACTATGCATCAGCTGTTTATTTCGCAAAACACATCAGCTGTTTACATCACAACACATAAGCTGTTTACGTCACAACACATAAGCTGTTTACGTAAAAAAAGCATCAGCTGTTTACATCCGAACACATCATTTGTTTACGTAAAAAAACATCAACTGTTTACTTCACAACACATCAGCTGTTAACTTCAAAACACATCAGCTGTTTACTTCACAACACATCCGCTGTTTACGTCACAACACATCAGCTGTTTACATCACAACACTTCAGCTGTTTACTTCCCAACACATCAGCCGTTTACGTTACAACACATCAGCTGTTTACTTCACAACACTTCAGCTGTGTATGTCACAACACGTCAGCTGTTCACTTTACAACACATCAGCTGTTTACGTCACAACACATCAGCTGTTTACTTCACAACAAAAAATTTGATTACTTCACAACACATCAGCTGTTTACTTTACAACACATCAGTGTTTTATTTCACAACACATCAGCTGTTTTATTTCACAACACATCAGTTGTTTACTTTACAACACATCAGCTGTTTACTTCATAACACATCAGCTGTTTACTTCACAACACATCAGCTGTTTACTTTACAACACATCAGTGTTTTATTTCACAACACATCAGCTGTTTACATCACAACACATCAGCTGTTTACATCACAACACATCAGCTGTTTACTTCACAACCCATCAGTTTATTTCACAACAGCCACTTTCTTCACAACACATCTTTATTTTCTACTATAAACACCTACTATATTTTGTACATACCCAGCATAACAAGATATCTAGAATACACCTTGACAGCATTACGAAATATCCTCTGAAACTGCAGCCAACATTCAGGATCTGATTCTAACAGTGATCCTCTAATACAACCTCACACACATAACTTCATAAGCAGTATATCATTCCACACACTCTATCTACTAATATCAACTTGTTTATCATCTACAAAGTCAAACAGAAGGACAACAGCTAATTTTCTATATCTACAACAAATGGTCAAATTGAATTCACAAAGATAAATATCATTATTTACAACAAACAGTAAGTGTTTGACCATCTCAGAAATGATTTTGATGAAATTTCAATGAAAAAGGACACATCTGTGCATGAGAAGTAGTCATTACAAACATGAAATATCTGAAATGGCTGCTAACTGCCATACTGAATATCCATTAAAGAGTGACATAGAAAGGTTATTTTCAATAGTTCTTGACAAATAGAAATTATCAAATGCAAACTACATGTATGGAAATGATGATATGGTAAGCCTATATCAATCTTCAAATTATTTTCTCTTAAAAATGTCAAAACCAAATGAAAACTTGGTTTGCAACAAATCTGAAACAAAATATTTACCAAAATATGTTTTATTTTTTCAAAAAATCTTTGTGAAATCATTTAGTACCATTAATTGACACAAGCCAAACCTTCGGTCTAGTGTTCTCTACACAACAACATTAATCTTCAGTGTTCAACACCCAACAATGACCATGATTTACTCAACAACAGTGCTCCAAGTTCTAAACTGGTGCTCTAGAGTCATGTGATTGCTACCCATGCCAATCATCATCTCGCCACAACACTAACTTACTTTGTGTTAGTCCTGTGAAGCCAAGCACATAAAACAAGGAGGGCATAGTTTAATCTCAAAGTTCCAGATAAATATATTTAGTGAATAAGAAGGAAAAACTTGGTTAGAGATTTTTTAATTTATTGGGTTTATTAACAAAACTGATTTTTACTAGTTATGACTACTTGTTAAGGAGGCCATGATTTCTTGTAATTTTAGAAATAATGAGCCAAACATGGGGTCAGTATCACTTCCAAGTTCCTTGTAACCACATATTAACATCAAAGTCTTCCGTCGTTACATAATACTTCTATTTACTGTGATTTGACATCAAGTTACGCTAACTAAACTTACTGCATAGATATGTATATATATGTAAGCCTTCCAAGAAAAGGAAACAAAATGAAGGACATGAAATTACATAAGAAGATAATCTCCCCCTTGACAACAGAAATTGTGCTGAGAAAAAGTAACGATAAAAAATTGTTTACGTTTTGTTTCTTCAAAACTACTTTACTTAATAAGGAAAGATTGCAGATGAATTCTCTGTGTAATACACACCTTTCAAAGGAAGGGCTCTTGACACATGTTTCCCTCACAAAGGTCATCAGTTGTTTCTGTGTCCGGCCACTGTATCTGTGTACAGAAAGTCAACACTAGGATTAAATGTCTCCCTCTGTACCTTAGAGGTGGAGCGGGAGGAAGGATTTTAACTTAATACTAATACAAATATGAAAGACTCAACCATAATGGAAGTAAAAACACTAAAACTGTTGACAATTTATAAAAAATATCTGGTAGAAGGGTCATCTTCAATCAAACATGATAACATGTATATGGTTAACATCTAGTCATGTCACTTTAAACAAAATATAACAATGCCACAATTAAAGTCAGTGCCAAATGAAATTATATGTAAAATAAACATTTTCTTTGATGTACTGATAGGTCAAAGGTCAAAGGTTTGCCGGAGTACCTACTTTTGATTCACGACACATGAAAAGTTTAAGTGATTAGAAGTGTAAGAGATGCAGACAAAAACTAATTTTTTCTTCGATGTAGGTCAAAGGTCAAAACTAAGGTCAGAATGACCTAACTTATTTTATACGAAACACCACCTTACCAAGGTGAACCAATACCTTAAGGATGAAGTTCAAGTAACAATTAGTAGATAAAGCCCGTAGAGATAGCAAGAGGACAGACTGACACAATGCAATACTGAAGTATCAGTTGCTCATGGTGGTTATTTACAACCTGCTACCAGCAGCATTCAGTTGATGTGAATGTTATGCAACTCCAATAACTCTATCAATAGTTAATATGTATGATCTCAAACTCAGTGTGTTTGTTGAGGAGAAAGTGTTAGACAGAAGATTATCAATTTTTAGAAAAAAAAATTTCCATTAAATCTCATGTTCAAACTATTCATTGATTTGAAATTTACACATATTTTCCAATGCTATTTTGATCTGGAGGGATTTCTGATATTTGTAGTTTTACTTATCTACCAATATCCATGGGAGTTTCCCAGACGACTGAACCCTGTATTGTTAGTTTTCCTGGAAAATACCAGGAATATCATTTACGTGCATCAATAACACCCTGTGTTAATGTGACAGCACCAAGGTTGTCACAACAACGCCCTGTGTTAGTGTGATAACACCAAGATTGTCACAATAATGCCCTGTGTTAGTGTGACAACACCATGGTTGTCACAACGACGCCCTGTGTTAGTGTGACAACACCAAGGTTGTCACAACAACGCCCTGTGTTAGTGTGACAACACCAAGGTTGTCACAACAATGCTCTGTGTTAATGTGACAGCACCAAGGTTGTCACAACAACACCCTGTGTTAGTGTGACAACACCAAGGTTGTCACAACAACACCCTGTGTTAGTGTGACAACACCAAGGTTGTCACAGCAACGCCCTGTGTTAGTGTGACAGCACCAAGGTTGTCACAACAACACCCTGTGTTATTGTGACAACACCATGGTTGTCACAACAATGCTCTGTGTTAATGTGACAGCACCAAGGTTGTCACAACAACGCCCTGTGTTAGTGTGTTAACACCATGGTTGTCACAACAACGTCCTGTGTTAGTGTGTTAACACCACGGTTGTCACAACAACGTCCTGTGTTAATGTGACAACACCACGGTTGTCACAACAACGCCCTGTGTTAGTGTGACAACACCACGGTTGTCATAACAACGCCCTGTGTTAGTGTGACAACACCAAGGTTGTCACAACAACGCCCTGTGTTATTGTGACAACACCAAGGTTGTCACAACAACGCCCTGTGTTAGTGTGACAACACCAAGGTTGTCACAACAATGCTCTGTGTTAATGTGACAGCACCATGTTTGTCACAACAATGCTCTGTGTTAATGTGACAGCACCAAGGCTGTCACAACAACGCCCTGAGTTAGTGTGACAACACCATGGTTGTCACAATAATGCCCTGTGTTAGTGTGACAACACCAAGGTTGTCACAACAACGCTCTGTGTTAGTGTGACAACACCATGGTTGTCACAATAATGTCATGTGTTAGTATGACAACACCAAGGTTGTCACAACAATGCCCTGTGTTATGTGACAACACCAAGGTTGCCATGACTACCATACCTGAAGGAGGATCCACGGCTGACGAGACGTGTCTTATTTCTAGGCACCTTTTTCACAGTATGACAACGGAAGAATGCGTGATGTTCAATGCATTTTTTCCAGAATATTTTACATTCATCTCTGCTCTCAAAAAAGAATTCCACTGTATCTTTATAGTATCCCTGTAATGAAAGAAAGACAGTTCAGCTATCGTAACACAATCTCAACTTTAAATGATCACAAAGCACAAAATAATGAGTAATTCTTGATGAACATAGAGATATGCGTAACATGGAGAATACTAATATTCAATTGTAATGTGCTATAGGTATACAAAAATTTTAAAAGTATCTTTAATATCAGAATAATTTTAGATATCTTATTTCTCTTACTTCCCCGCCCCTTTTGATTTCATTACATCAATAATATTCACAAAAGTCACAAATGCTGACTTACATCCACATTAAGTACATCTACTGAGAGTGACTGAACATTAAATACTAAAAATACATCCATTATCAATGTCTTTGAATCTTCCGTCAAAGTTATCTCCCTTGTCTTTAACAATGTTTTAGAAAACCATGCCAATCAAAATGTTTCTACACTACAAAAATTAAGAATGTAAAAATTCCACATATTAACCACTCATACACAAAAATAACATGTAATGGGACGGGGAGATTTACATTCCATTACATTCAAGAACCTAATTCCAAAATATCATCATCACATACATGTATTAAATTCATTCACCGAAAGTACAACGAAAAGAAAATAATTGAGGAAGATTTTCCATATCTAACATTCCTCCATGGCATTTAACATAAATAAATAAGCAACAAGCAAAATGAATAAGTTGAGTGAATTCCACCGATGTATAAATTAATCCCTGTATGCTGTCTTGATGACAATTTAAATATTCACCAGACCAGAAATCAAATTCCAGCATGCAAGTGCTGAATAGCAATGTTAAAAAAAAATTTAAACACTAATATCTTAAGGGAACTATAGACAAAAATAAATCAAATTGGAAATTTGATGAAGCTAATTGCATGTGTTGACTCACCATGGCTCTATGGAAAACTATGTAAACTGTCTTTCAAAAACCTTTTTGATCACAATGAGACATATTTTCACATACCAAAAATTCAAAATTTCATTTGTTCCAGACAGTGATAGCCTAAAACTTTGACATTTAGCTAGCCACACAAGTCATATTGATGTTGGTAAATAATCTTATTTTTCAATTTGACAAGCCAGACTTGAATATTCCTATCTATGTTTTACTTGTTTACAATGTAAATCATTTTTTAATCATTCAAGTTATCAAAACACAAACACTCTCTAGTGTAATGTCAAGACAATCGGTAATGAATTAAAATACTCCAAACCTATTTAATGAGGAGACGACTGTGAATATGTAACGTTATTATCTCAAATCTGATTGACTGAAGCTTAAGTCAATAAATGTCCTAGTGTAACCACTGCAGTTTGACAGTCAGGTATATAAATTCTGGGTGTCACATGATCAGTTCTAGGTGTCACATGATCATTTATGGCTGAGAAATCGGTCTATACTGACCCTCCAATCATTCAGAATTGCAGAATACTAAAAGATGAAGCCAGTTGCAATTTAATAAGCAATTTCACACATATATGCCAATTCTGGTAATGTTTAAAGAACGGTCACATAATAACCATTCAGTCAAGAAACCCCTTTCATTCATATCAAAAAGACAATATCAGCTACTTTGATGATAAAATGACAGAATTGCTTTTCAAGTTTTCAAAACACTTAATAGTGCAATAACAATTTAGCAAGGCAAGCATTGTTGGGAAAATAGTTAGTGCCATGCCAGTTAGTGTTGTCACCCTTAAAGAAAAACACAAACAATTTGCCTTTGGTTATTGAGACAAAAAGTTAACATAACAAAAAAACTTTATTTTTCCTACATAGTTAAATTATCAATAACACCAAAACATCTACAAATTGGCATGTATGTTTCATGGCTACTAGACAAGCTGAAAAAAGAATCTAACACATGCAGTTTATTCTGAACATGTTCACATTTTGTTTAATTCCTTTTTTTCTTCTTTAATAGAAAAAAGTTTTGTAACAAATAGCACCCATTATTCCATCAAACACTACAAAATTTATCATGCATTTCAAATGTAAGAAAGATTTCAAATGTTTCATTCAATTTGTATAGCCATTAGGGTAAAGCAATCTCTATATCACTAGCTTAACCTCACCTTATCTTTGAATGGCTGTGATGAAACAGATGTACCCTGTTTGAATAAATAATTCCATCACATTCAGCCCTTTCCTTGTGGTTGTATGATAAACATGAAAACATCACAGCTGTAAGTGTGAGTTGTATATACAGACCATGCTATCAACTTACATATAAACCCCTCATATCAGACTTGATTACATATGCAGTGATCAACTTGCTATAAACCTCCTTCCTGGAAATGCAAGTCAATCATTGCATATGTCTTTTAATACTACCAGCAGTGCCTTCAATCTTTCACTTTTCTCTGAAAACATCTTTTGCTAATTCTGAATCTGTATTAATAACTAGAGACCCTGAACCAGAGAATAAACAACAAGGGGAATCCCAAACACACCAAACAGCAAGGGGAAATCCCAATCAGGGGGAATCCCAAGCATATCATCCCAAACATATCAAGCAATCAGGGGAATCCCAAACATATATAACAATCAGGGGAATCCCAAATATATATAATAATCAGGGGAATTCCAAACACATCATCCCAAACATAACAAGCAATCAGGGGAATCCCAAACATATCAAACAAACAGGGGAATCCCAAACATATCAAACAATCTGGGGACATCCCAAACATATCAAACAAACAGGGGAATCCCAAACATATCAAACAAACAGGGGAATCCCAAACATATCAAGCAATCAGAGGAATCCCAAACATATCAAACAATCTGGGGAATCCCAAACATATCAAACAATCTGGGGACATCCCAAACATATCAAACAAACAGGGGAATCCCAAACATATCAAACAAACAGGGGAATCCCAAACATATCAAACAATCTGGGGACATCCCAAACATATCAAACAAACAGGGGAATCCCAAACATATCAAACAAACAGGGGAATCCCAAACATATCAAACAATCTGGGGAATCCCAAACATATCAAACAATCTGGGGAATCCCAAACATATCAAACAATCTGGGGACATCCCAAACATATCAAACAAACAGGGGAATCCCAAACAAATCAAATGGCAAGGGGATATCCCAAACATATCAAACCATCAAGGGGAAATCCTAAGTACCAAATAGCCCGGAAAAATTCTAAGCCTATTGAACAATGAGAGAAAACCCCAAACCTGGTCAACAGTGAAGGGACATCCCACACCTGTTAAAGAATGAACGAAAATCCCAAACCAGAGCTATCACATACTGTAAGAGGAAATCCCAAACCAGAGCTATCACATACTGTAAGAGGAAATCCCAAACCAGAGCTATCTTATACTGTAAGAGGAAATCCCAAACCAGAGCTATCTTATACTGTAAGAGGAAATCCCAAACCAGAGCTATCTTATACTGTAAGAGGAAATCCCAAACCAGAGCTATCACATACTGTAAGAGGAAATCCCAAACCAGAGCTATCTTATACTGTAAGAGGAAATCCCAAACCAGAGCTATCTTATACTGTAAGAGGAAATCCCAAACCAGATGGAATAACTAGGGGAAATCCCAAACCAGATGGAATGACTAGGGGAAATCCCAAACCAGATGGAATGACTAGGGGAAATCCCAAACCAGATGGAATAACTAGGGGAAATCCCAAACCAGATGGAATAACTAGGGGAAATCCCAAACCAGATGGAATAACTAGGGGAAATCCCAAACCAGATGGAATAACTAGGGGAAATCCTTAACATAGTAATCATAAAACCCAAACCATTTAGATAAGTGAAAAGTAAATCTCAAACCTGTTAAAACAGGAAGAGGAAATGTCCAATTAAATGTAAAGATCATTTTAAACAGTCTATAGTACATAATGCAAACCCATGAGAAATTCTAGGAACTGTGGACAAGGCAGGGAAAAACCACATAAGTTTTTCTACTGTTAACAAATTTTCCCCAATTATTCCAACAATGCAATTAAAAACAGTCTCATGCACATTTCTAGCTGACACCATTCATCACAATGAAGTGAATTCACTTTAATTTGGTTATTCTATATAAGCTGAGTGTGGACTATTTATCCACAAAGTGCATAGAATGCCTGGATTTAATCTTCAGTTTTACATTTGCTTATGCATAGTCTTGTTGATCATCATTTCCATACATCAATTGCCAATCACCTGATTTACATTCAATTCAATTAATTTACAATTTGTTGTCATTTAACTAAATTTTAAAGTATAAATCAATAGTGACAAATATTGCTGGCTCTTCTCTTACAGAAGGAATGTATAACATTCTATAACAGGGATTATGTATCCAATATCTCCTATTTATCCTCAAACAAAATAGGATTGGTTTGAAACAAGATTACATCTGAAAGCATCAACAACAGGCATTATGATTAACCATTTACTTCTACACCAAGATTCAACTCCAACAAAAAAATTACTTCTTTAGATCGAAATATAAACAATTATAGTTTACGTCATGTCAACATGTATATTTAATAGTTCGGTAATTGATGTTACCATAGCAATTGAATTCAAAATCACTACCTTATATCAGTGTAACTGATGAATAAATTCTGTATGGATTATGAATATTAAGCAAGTGCAAATCTGAAGCATTAACCAGCATTACTGTGCATTCTGCAGATAACTGTCCCATACTAGAAAGAAATGTAAAAGTTGATTTCCAACTATCTCACCTTATCTTTGACAGGCTGTGGAAAAACATAAAGAATGCTTAACATAGCAAAAAGGACAACATTGACCAACAAAAAAATGTAAAATAACTTTTGTTTATAAAATCCGATTTCTTTTACGGTAGATCTCACTTGTACACCTTAAACAATTCAGGTATAAAAATTAGTTAATCATAATAAATCAAACATTTCCCTAAAAAAAATTGTCACCAAATTAATGTAAAAGTGTGGTAACACCCCCTGTCTTTGTTCTTTTACATATATCAGATTTTATGTAAAGACATTTGTTGAATGTTTTCCTGATTAAATAAAATTAATTAATTTTATCAAAACTCTATCCTTATTGAAAATTGTTTGTATACAATTGGATGTAGTCTAGCTGTATGATATATAATACTCCTATACCACACATCTTTTCCCTCATTGGTAGACAGCTCAACTGTTACTAGCTCTAGATAGATAAGGGTATGGAACAAATTAGAAGTACTTGTACTCTGCCCTTATTTTTCCCTCAAAGAACTTTAACTTAAGAACATGATAATGAAACAAATTAACAATTCAAGAAAATGTCAATAATAAAAGAGCATTTTAAAGAAACTTCCATGTTGATTCTGAAAACTGTACTCAACAATGTCAGAAAATCAATGATACAGAGACCTCAATTTGATCCAATGTGGAGAGGATTTTATAAAACTGCTGTTATATTTTAGTTTATTTTCTTTTTCACCATTTGTCTCCTGTCAACTAACTTTAACCGAGACTGAGATATTACTCCCTGACTTAAAAAGTTTTATGATAATTAATTGATTCCATATATATTTCCAACATAATTGTTAGAATTTCCATATCACAATATCCCCTCATCCCCACCATCATTACTCTTTCCACAATATCCCCTGATCCACACCTACATTACCATCCCCACAATATCCCCTGATCCACACCATCATTACGATCCCCACAATATCCCCTGATCCACACAATCATTACCATCCCCACAATATCCCCTGATCCACACCATCATTACCATCCCCACAATATCCCCTGATCAACACCATCATTACTATCCCCACAATATCCCATGATCCCCACCATCATTTCTCTCCCCACAATATCCCCTTATCCACACCATCATTACCATCCCCACAATATCCCCTGGACCATACCATCATAACTATCCCCACAATATCCCCTGGACCACACTATCATTGCTATTCCCACAATATCCCTGATCCACACTATCATTACTATTCCCACAATATCCCCTGATCCACACCATCATTACTCTCCCCACAATATCCCCTGATCCACACCATCATTACCATCCCCACAATATCCCCTGGACCATACCATCATTACTATCCCCACAATATCCCCTGGACCACACTATCATTGCTATTCCCACAATATCCCTGATCCACACTATCATTACTATCCCCACAATATCCCCTGGACCACACCATCATTACTCTCCCCACAATATCCCCTGGACCATACCATCATTACTCTCCCCACAATATCCCCTGGACCATACCATCATTACTATCCCCACAATATCCCCTGGACCATACCATCATTACTCTCCCCACAATATCCCCTGGACCATACAATCATTACTCTCCCCACAATATCCTCTGATCCACGCCATCACTACTATGCCCAATTATCCTTGATTTGCACCCATCACTTCTACCCAATAATGAGCAAACAAAAGAATAAGAATAATAAGCTGTGCCAAAGAAAATTTGGTGTATTAAGAAGAAAGCTTCTCTGTTATACCTTCTGACTGATGTTCATTAACTAATAAGTGCATGTGTGGCAGTGACAAGAGAAGCAGGTGTATACTGATTCAACATCTACATTTCACACTCAAAACTTGTATTTCATGTATATAACCTCTACCAACTTTCACAATTATTACCAACTTTCACAATAAAATCCCTGGTTGTCATGCTTTTCTTCTTATTTCAACACAACATGAACTCCCCAATATCAAATAAATTACCTGTTTCAAAGAGTAATTTCTTCATTTGAAACCTAGTGATATGAAAATAAAAATCTGACCCTTTCATTTTGAATTCCCAAAGATAATTTACTTATCAACAACCATACACTGGGTCAGATTTATAAAACTTAAGTTGAAGACATTTACAATCGCCAGATGGTAAAATGAAATACTCAATCAAATCATATATTCAATATTACAACTTCAAGCAAGTTAGAATGAAAGCTTTTCTATGAATGAATAAACAAGAACAAAGTCAGTATTGTATGCTGATTGTAAATGTATAAACCTTTGTCTATTTGAACAAACTAATTAATGAGAGAGAACTAAATTACACTTTCTACACCTGTATGACTCTGAACCTACATGATCTTCTAGTTAACTGTCACAGAGACACTTACGTAGCTTTCAGGGTGGAGTTTGATAAGGAACTTCTTGCGTTTGAAGCTGAGTTTGCGAACCTTCGCCCAGGAGAAGGTGTTGATTTTGGTATGTAACTGGAAGACGAGGATGCCAACATGGGCGATGGACAAGTGAAGTGACACATTCTCGTGGTCCTGGTGGAAAACACAAAATTTTAATATTTAGGTAAATATCCATCAAATATTTGATGGAAAATCTTAAGTTATAGCTCTAGATAAATGAAAGACTGTATCATAAAATTTGTATTTTAATAAAATATGATCATCCAACAATATAATTAACTCAAAATTAATATAGTACATTCTCCAAATTTCTGGCAATTTGTTGACTCTTCCCATTTCTTTATTTCAATAACATATTAGATACCGACAAAACGAAGATATCAGATGTATCTACTGATACTGAAAACATAACAGTAATGGAAATTGATTCTCTAAAAAAGATGTTAAAGAAACAAGATAATTATCAATACCAAACTATGGAAAACTCCACTTCACAACACTTTTATCTCTAATGAGTTCAAATTGTTTACTCTAAAGCACTTTACTGTTAACTTGACTGTTAATAGATATGTATTTCATCCAATCAATATCACAAGGCACCAACACAGGATTTAACAGGTCCTGCACAATCAGCAACTCAATAACATCTCACAAATACCTCCACTAATGTTTATCCCTAAAATATGCTGGAAACAAATTTTTGAAAAGGGCACTACTTCCAGTTTCTTTAAAGTGCCACCTCACTTGTATGCACTTTCAATGCAGCATCCGCCCAGACTGTTTTTATGTTGTACCCGAGATGCTGTAGTTATGTGGGCATACGAAATGCCCAGCCTCTGAAAATTTCATCTGAAATTACTTTCGTTATCTCTATTAAAAGGCTAGAGCTTAATTCACTCGAGAAAATCCATCCATTTTGATCAGACAGAGAACAATCCATAACTGCTGAATGGTAATTGCATGAGGTTGTTTACAGTGAGCGTACACGTACTTTGGCCGGGCAGAGTTTCACACCGTAAGTATCCACCTTTCTGGCCGTATCTAAAAGACTAGATTCTGCTTCTGCTGGAGATTCACCTCTGTAAACACAAATACAAACAAATTCTTGGATAAAAATTGTCTCAGATAGTTATTATTAACTAACAGTGACAGAGAAATGGCAACTTTATCCTCTTAATGTCAGTAATAGCTTACAGTTTTTAATCAGAGTAACCACTTAAAAAAACCAGTAGGAATTTTTCAGAAAAACATCTTTTTAAAAAGACTATAGTGGCAACTCTGATATTTTTCGTTGGAAATGAATGACAATTTTTACGCCATTTTCAAAACAAAAAATACTCTACATAAATTTGGCATAAGTAATCCATGCCAGAGAAACATTACCTTAATGTTCTGACTTTGATATCTAAAATGTTTTTCTTAAGTCTGACAAAGCAAAACCCAAAAATGGAATGAAAAATAGTTTTGATAATGAGGGAATATGCAGTATTTTCATCAAAAACATATCCTTTAAAATGTATTCTTTCCATAATTGACATTTTCATAATAACATCAATACAAGACTAACAGAAAAATGTGGAAGTTTATAGTAGTACTGTTTCTCAACCAATTACAATCAGGCTTGTCTCTGAACCAATCACACCTGGCTTGTCTCTCAACCAATCACTATCAGACTTGTCTCTCAACCAATCACAATCAGGCTTGCCACTTGACTCATTAGATAAAGACTCTCAACCAATCATATATGCTTATTCTAAAAAGAACTAAGCCATCAAGGGATATCTTATTTGCAGGTTAATCATCAGAAGGACTCTGTAACTAACATGTGCTGTCGGTGGTACTCCATGACCTTCTTGAGGAGCTCTTCTGTCTGGTGAGGTACAAAAGCATTCAGTGACTTGAGATATGTATGGTCCAGGTACTCCTCAACAATAAAGTCCCCAATCTCCGCTGTAAGTAATGAAAATCATATACTCAAAGACATTAAAACTTCACAAACTAAATCATACTAAACAATTTGTTGTATCTATAAAATCAAATGAAAGTTTATTTGGAAATAATTTTGTCTGCAATATTTGTCAACTTATATTGAATATTACTGTACACTACAACAGAAGAACACAGAGGTCTTAATATAATGAAAACAACTCAGTAACACCAGGGACCAAGGCTCTCCACAAGTTAACCGATATCTTTTAAACTTTGACAAAGGAACTTAATCATCTTGCTGAAAGATGAATGTTTATTCTTCAAGCTCTTTCTCAGAAAGAGAGTTTAACAGACTTTTACTGTTAAAATCCAAGAAGGCTGCCTACCAGCCTTTTTATTTCTCTGGTCAGCCTCACAATTAGCCATGAACACAGTACTTTTCAGTAAATAACAAAATCATATTGTTCAGGGACAAACAGACAAAGTATAGTTAGACAGACAGAGAGACAGGAAATGTTTAATCTGAACAGCTTATTGCTATGGTGATCCTCGATGATATCTAAGAACTAAAGAAGTAGTTCAATCAGATTTGTTCACAATGAATCATGATATTGTTTCCTTCAGATTGTCAACAGTTCAAAATCATATCTCCAGTTAGCAAGTTATGAATTTACAGGCTCTAACACCTGATGATAAATGTAGAAAAAAGTGAGAGAGAACAAAAATTGAAATTGATTTTTCAAAATGCAAAATATCCATTAAAATCATAAAAATTCTCTTTTGGTGAAAATGCCAACCCCTGATGGTTTAAACGATCAAAATGAGAGAAATTGGTTTTTCTACCAAAACAATCAGTTACAGCTAGAGTCCAACTATGTATTGCCCAGTGGGAGCCATAGCAACAGACACATGACAACCATTGTTGCCACGACTACACACAGACTGGAAAGTCTTTGACCTTTTCTTGTCTGGTAGACAATGGGAGGAACGGTTCATCATATCACCTCACGACCAATTTCAGGATAAAACACAGTTCATTATATCACCTCACTGCCAAATCCAGAAAATAAATCTATTACATAACATTTTTAGGCTAATGTATGGGTCAGTAATTTAAATATCATGGGAAATATCAGTAAAATTCTTCTAGACATCCTGTCTAAAGCATAGTCTGACAAATCACAACCCAATTATCCAGAAGGTTAAATGATGCGTATAAAAAAACTCTCCCTATATAATAACTATACATCTATTACATACCTAAGGTCGACTTTAAAGAAGAATAAAAAGGGTTTTTTTGTATCTAAAACAGACTCAAATGTTCCCAACTTCCAATAGACAATTAAATTGAAAGACAGTTTCAATTCACACTCTGGAATACTTGTGATCTGTTGAAGGATAGGAGGAATGTGGAGGGTTTGCCTCAGTTCAGCAATGAAGGACTGTGACAGGTTTGTCTTTGTGATGAAGAACTGTGAAGGGTTTGTCAAAGGACTTTGAAGGAGTGCAAGAAATTGCAAAAGAATCCTTACGGTCAGAAACTTTTTCTTCCTAGGATCAGGAAGGATGATTTACCACGAAGGAATGTTTGTGTTATAAAATAATGGTGTCTATGATAATAGTTCCAATAATAGCTATCATATAAGCAATTATGACATATGTCATCGTTTAAGTCAAGGACATCAAAGTCTTCACTATTTTACTCAATGTCTGTGGCTCTATCTTCAAATATGAGCTACTTTTTTCATTTTTTTTAACAAAGAAATGTCCCAACACAAGTTTCCCAAAAATAAATTGATGACCAGGGGATTCAATTAATATTTAGGGCTGACAGGGCCAACATTTGACATTTTTAGAAGTCAAATCAAAATTTGAAATATTATGTGAAACAGACATGTCCTGTAAAATTCTAGAGTCAAGCAACTCATATTTGGTGAAAAACTTACTCTCAGGAGTCTACTGAATGCCTTGTATATCACAAGGTTTCTGTTTGAATAGCTGATCAATATCTGTAGGTAATACAACTGAGTATGCGACCTTCGTGACAATTAATCAAAGTGACAGTGTGTTCTCACCTTGAGCTATATATGAAGCCACCAAAGCTGCTGTGTTCTCACTGCACTGCATGCTGCCTGTTGCTAGATCTTTTTTAATTTGCAGTGAAAATAAATACCTGTTGGAAGAAAAAGCATTTTTATCTCGTATTAATCAATACTTAACCTTATTTCTATTTTCTAAACACTAAATATTTCAATGATATTTACAATAAGGGTATGAAAATTCATTTGTTTTGATATTACACAGGTAAATTTCCTAGAATAAAGTTTAAAACACACCCCTTTAAACATCCTAAAAAGTATGGACTTGTTCTCATCAAAAGAGCAGTGAATTGTTCTAATCCTAACGGATATGCACTTGTCCTCATCCTAAAATGTAGGGCACTGTCCTCATCCTAAAGAGTATGGACTTGTACATATTCTAAATGTATAGGGACTTGTCTTCATCCTAAAGAGTAGAAAATTGTCCTCCTCCTAAATGTAGGGACTTGCTCTTATCCTGACGGTGTAGGGATTTGTCCTATTGGTCATAATTTTTGACAGATTTGCAGTCCACAAACACAGCCAATAGGGTGAGGACATGTCCTTGCATTTGGAAAGGATTCATGCACTGAATATTCAATCAATCAATTCATTTAGTTTAAGTCTGTACTATTCACTTAATTCTGTAGTAAAAGTTACAACCCAAAGTTTTAAATTTTCACACTTGTTCTAATGAAGAAGGCCCTGTGTCAACATTTAACCCCCATTCTAATATCTAAGGCCTGTGACAATGCATGATGCCATTTTATCATAATTTTTGTTCCATGATTTTATAAAAAAATAAAGTTTTTAAGGGCAAGACCTGGTGTACTCATCCAGCAAGCCTGGGTCTGGCGTGTAGAACTTGACACAGAATTCCAGCGGAGAGTCAGGTGATGGCAGCTGCTTCAGTATAGGCTTCTCATTGTCCAGCCAGCACTGTCAACATAAGGAAAATATAACAGGACACTCAAACAAAAAATAGTTTACTTCAGAAAGCCAAAAATCAAAACGAGAAAAGAAACAAGAATTCCGAAGGATTATGTCCTATTTTTCTTAGGAAGAAGTCAAAAGACACATCAAAATTAAGAAAAAACAAATTCTGCTTGGATGTGCCAGCTTTATATGTAAAAGAATATATTGATTACTGACTACAACTGTCAGGACTATTATAACATTTTTAAAAAAGAATCATCACAGCATCTCCATGTTTGTCCTGAGGTAAACACGTATTGATATACATAGATACACAGTCAAACCTGCTCCAGGGAGCAGAGAGAAGTGGCTTTTATAGACAGGTAACCTTTATTTAGAGGTTCAATCTTATAAATTGCATTTGAAACCAAAAAATTCACCTTTATATCCAGGCGGTGGTTATGATTGGTTTGATTTAAAAAAACATCAAACTAAAGAAGCTTCCAGTCTTTTAAATAAAGACAAAGAAAGTCATGTCAAGGTCAAAAGGTCAAATGCATTATAACAAGATGATGAAATGTGATGTCATAATCAAAAGGTTGTATGTGTTATAATGTGATGAGACTACGAAAAAAAACTTCAGGGTCAAAAGGTCAAATGTGTCATTACAAGATGATGTTTAAGTTTAAATTTTATCAACAAAGACTGATATTTCCGTAAAGATATCTGCATTTGTCTTCGTCGTTGCAGTTGATAACTTGATAAACATCTTCCTAACCCTTGCAAAGTTCATTAACATTCTGTGGTGTGCAGTATTAATGTTAAACAACGGTTGTGCCGACAGACTGCAAACCTACTCATGAGATGTAGCCAGTGAAACAGGGGAGGTAATAAATACGAAGCCCCTAAACAAACCCCATTTTTTATTTTTCAGGTTTTATCCAGCAACAAAACTTCATCACACTCATTCATCCTGTCTGATGTTTCTTTTCTCTTTACCAAAGTCGTTTAGATTTTTAACAAAACCAAAACCAGGATTTCCTCAGACATATCCTAAAATCTCTTAAGTTTCAAAGAGACACAGTATAGACATTACCTTGAGGCCGTTTTTGTCTCCATATTGTAGATCAAAGTAGTCAGACTCGACCAGCTGTAGATGTCTCACCACTGCCTCCCAAAGCGCCATACCCAAAGCTTTAACCTGTAATAGAATGAAAAGCATGTTAACACCTATCCATAATCAATGTTTCTACATATCAAGGTATTTGTTTGAATGAAATCTGCTTCATTTTTTTTTTTATTAAACGAAAATAACTGTATTAACTCAGGTAACAATTTTCTGTCTGAACCCCAATTCTGTCTGAACCCCAATTCTGTCCGAATCTGAATCCCAATTCTGTCTGAACCCCAATTCTGTCTGAACCCCAATTCTATCCGAATCCCAATTCTGTCTGAACCCCAATTCTGTCTGAACCCCAATTCTGTCTGAACCCCAATTCTGTCTGAACCCCAATTCTATCTGAATCCCAATTCTGTCCGAACCCCAATTCTGTCCGAACCCCAATTCTGTCTGAACCCCAATTATGTCTGAACCCCAATTCCGTCTGTACCCCAATTCTGTCTGTACCCCAATTCTGTCTGAACCCCAATTCCTGGGAAAATAATCAGGCCTATCAAAGTCTCATCTAAAGGAGGATGAGCAAGGACTGATGTTAGAAGTTGGTGGTGCCAAGATTGACATGCTGAATTTCACTTGTAAGGGCAGATAATCACTATAATTCAATGCTTTTTGACAACAGTAACTAAGTTTGAAGAAGAATCAGTAATTTTAAAAGACAAACTATGAAGCATGAATAATTCAAGTAATAAAATATATACTTCCAGCTGTATATACATACTTAAAAAAAGGTACCAACATCTGGCAAATAATTTCATGAAAATGATATATGTCTATCGTTTCCAGTTACTGTTCATTAATGGGTGTGCTAATACCAAGGAATAGGCATGGGTATACTGTCAAGATATATATGGTATAAGTAAGTATTTCATAATTCAGGTAAACTTTTCATATGATAAATGGAAATTTTGATTTAAACTGAACAAATCTGACATTAGCCAGTACTTATTTAAACCCTTGTGTTGCTAGCTGGATTTTATAATCACGTAACTAAATGCCATTATTAGCAATGCAATATTGTTTGATTTAGTGCCACTGTTATTCAACACTTCTAAGCAGACATACGAAACGTATCACATATCTCTTACTCATCATTGTGATGGTTTATGATGTTCAACAGAGAGGTAAATATCAACGGTGAAACAAGAGATCTATGAGGATCTTTGTGCCCACTATTACAGACGACAGACCATGAACCAAGTAACCAGGTGATTTGAAAAGCCCACCATCCGATGACAGTGAACAAAGGGTAATTTGAAAAGTCCATTCGATGACAGTGGGCTTTTATATCCTGTCAGCCATTTTGTTTTTGGAATATCAATCCCAAAATGAAACAATGCATTAAGCTAGGGACAATGCAACTTAAATTTGAAATTGACACACCTCATAAAATAGCTATAACAAGAATGGTTTTAGGACAGAAGATGTTACAAAGACTAAAGATCATGAATACCAACGAAGAGCATTTTGATCACCCTGCTGTCAGATGAAGGTATACTGGGATAAAATCCTGTTACCACAAGGATTAAGATTGAGAAGAGTAAGTTGTTGATTGTCTAGGGTCTGCAATATATACAGCTGTTACAGGTAAAAAAGACACCAAGGCATTCGTCATAAGCAATCGATCACCAGCATTGTGGTTATAGTGACACACTCATATATCTGTTGACCAGAAAATCAACAGACCCTATACTAATCATTATTATTTCACATCCTAATTTACATTTCTTTGGTTCAATCTGTCATTGATGGCCTTGTATAGAAAAAGGAAATCTACAGGGCATATTGATGAACAGTTTTATTAGAAACAGAAATAATTAATTCATCAAAATTACAATATAAGCCAATGTTTGGCTAGTGAATAGTACCTTCAATACAACTATAGAGTCAGACTGAGTAGAGACAAGCAATGAATTAAACTGCATCATACAGCTGCTTCCCCCTTATAGGACTCATCAGTGACTCCAGCGGATACCACAGATGTACTACTGCTGTTTACATACCACCAACAGTAAGTCCATAACTTGACACAAGTCCTGAAGTAGTTGATCCATGTTAAGTTACTACCACAGGGATAAAACAAAAGATACCTTGACAAAATGTGACTAAATTAAGGTGGAGATCTTGACGCAGTTTCGATGACAAGAAAATGTGTTCAGGTAAGTGAAAAACATTTGATGGAAAATATCACCTCATGATAAAGTAGCTACCTACTACAGACTTGAATCACAAAGGGATGATATAAGATCAACATCTATTTTCAGTAAAAATCTAATTTTCAGGGAATTTGTCCTTATCTGATTCACCTTTTTGGCTGTATCTTGGTCAGCAAATCATCAAGTTTCTTCAGAATCAGAGTTTGTTTCCAATTTGAGAATGGTTCAAGTTTGAGAATGTTTCTACTTGGAATATAGATTATCTCTACAGCTACATGTACAGTAAGTATTAAGGCAGTTTAGGTTTCTGTAATGTTGTTGCAGAATATACAGATTTGTAAACTTCCAACTCATTGACGGATTTACAACAATGAGAGCAGCTCGACTCAAGTTCATGGTGGTCCTGGCTACAGGGGCACTGTTTCTGACTTGGTTATACATACTTAACAGGTAGGCATTACAAACTTGCATGTGATAATAGTCATATTTCAAAATTTAATTAAGGATTTGAAAATTTGAATCTGTTCTGCATATTGTTTGTTTTTTATTGGGCTCATAAATTCAGACAGTTTCATAGCTTCTTTTTTCACCTTTAATCTTTTTGAGAAGCTAGTCTGTTGTTTCCATTTAACAATTGATTTGTGTAACAATGCATAATTGTACCCAAAATGTTTTAGTCCTAGGTTATTTACAAAAATCTGACTGGGTAATAAATGGGAAACTTATTGTACATTTTTAGAAAACCAACTGAAAGAAACAAAACAGAGGAACAGCTGAGAGCTCACCTAAAAGAGGAAACCAATGCTATCATATCAAGAAAAATAATAGTTCTTTCTACAAAGTCACCAAATGGAGATTCGTTTCAACCAAATGAGCAGAGTTCTGTACCACCTAGATATGCATTCGTCAATGCAAAATCAAATGATCTTAAAGTGACCAAAACGAAGTCAACCTATCAAGAAATACCTAAGACTACTCGCACCTCCCTTCATAGACCAGCCAGTACAGAGCAGAATTTAACAACAAGTCACAGCAAGACGCTTCTTCAAAGCAAGAAATATCCTCAAAGTACATTGGCTGATTCAACACTGCCTACAATTAAATTGATGACAACCGAAACAGAAAATTCAATATTGCAAAAACAATTCAATTTGAAGACATGTTCTCATCCAAAACATTTTAATCTCTCTCATATGTTCAAGCGATATCATCAATCCACTTCACCAAAGAAATTCAAATTTTACATCTACGAATTACCAAATAAGTTCAATGTAGACATTGTGAGCTGTTTTGACTTCGAAAAGCCAAAATGTTACTCGTTTGATCATTGTGGTATGGGACCAGAATTCCCAGGAAACAACACCAGTATGGTTACAAGGGATACTCATATGTTTGCTGCAGAGGTCCTTCTCCACAATAAACTGAGGTTCAGTCCCTATCGTACTCTGGACGCAGATCATGCCGATATGTTCTACATACCAGCTTACATAGGTCTACATTGTCTCTGCACTAAACGCCAACAAAATGTAGACAGCTTGATTCATGACTTGTTTTTCTATTTAAAGAGACAAAAATATTTTTCAACATTTCCTCACTTCACAACTGTAGCAAAGATTTCTCGTGAGATGGCAGGAAAGGATTGTCCTTATCTGAGCCATAGGGACAGTGGAAATATAACATTTTTAGGAATAGAACTTGAACTCAACAAGTTTCTAGCCCAGTTCCTTGGCCTCGCAAACAGAAACGTTATACAAATTCCCTACCCATCTTATGTTCACTTTCCTCACCATGTGATGAAAAGTCAAATTGAACAGAAAAGGGACATCTTCATTCTGTTAGCTGCAGGAAGTCGAGTTAACCCTTATCGTGTTAAGATAATGAACCAGTTTCCTATCAAAACAAGCAGGAGTTATCTTGATTTCAAATCTTCACAACACTACCATGCATCAAGAAAACATAAAAAAACAGAAAACTTTACCATGGTGCTGTTTGATACTGACACCTGTAGTATGAAACTAAGACAGAACACCATTCCATGGATGGAACATTCTGTGTTTTGTTTACAGCCTCCTGGGGATTCACCCACCAGAAAATCCTTTTTTGATTCCATTCTCAGTGGCTGCATCCCTGTTCTATTCCCTGATCCCCCATACATTAGCAATCCATACCCATTTCAATCTGTACTGAATTACGACAAGTTCACAGTTACAATTCCACATTATCGTATTGCCAACAGAAATGAATCTGTGCTCACTATACTTAAGGAGTTGTCTCCCCTGACCATACATAGCCTTCGTGTGGAATTAGCTAAGGTTGGGAGATGGCTGCAGTACTCTGTTCCCAATGGACAGATTCAACCACACGATGATGCTCTGAAACTTATAATACAAGAACTGACTAGAGTTGTCTCCCTTGCCCATACATAACCAGCAAAGGTGCGAAGATGACAACAAAGCTCTCTACCAAAGCAACAGATTCAACCACATGGTTATGCTCTCAAATGGAGTTTAATAATTGTATCAAGCAATTTTGTATTTGAATTTGTCATTATCTTTTCTTAGTTCTACAAAAAACCCATTGACTTATGTTAAAACAAATGGGCAAATGTAACCATTCTTGTCTATAGTACAAGCACAATCTACCTGATCAAGCTAGAAGACAGAACCAAAACTTACAATAGCAGACAAGACTACATCAATACCATTGCTTTTGGGTAAGTCTACACACCTACAGCACAAACCCAGTCGTAGTATCAGCTGGTTTAAGATATAAATCCTATGTATTGTGTATCAGTCTATTGATTTGTGTGTCAGCTTCAATTATCTTCTTCTTTGAGATGTCCAACATAGTCAAATTCACCAAAACAAA